AAGAGAAGGGCTTAAAAAGATCCACAGCCTTTTGGATTCAAGAAAGGAGAGAGGGAGGAGGTCACGGGCCACTTCTCTACTGCTTTTCTGATCATCAGTTTTATCCCCATGTCTGACTCCTGAGTTTCTTTAATAATAGACTAATTCAGGTAATCATTACACAAAACCAGTGGAACAGACCCCACAAATACAAACCAGGCAACTACTGCCAACTGATTTTTGACAAAGGTCCCAAGAATGTATTTCAGAGTGAAGAACTGGAGATGGAGGGATGACTCCATTAGAGCCTGATGTGAAAATATGATGACCTTAGTTCAAAGCTCCAAAACCTATGTGAAAACTGGGTGTGATAATATTTTTCTGCAACCCTGATGACACGAGACTGTGTGGTGGGCAGAGTGAAGACAGCCAGTATCCTGGACTTCATTGATCACCTGGCCAAATTGAAGAATCCTGTATTAATAAATAAGGTAGGGGCTATGGAGAATAATACCTGTATTAGCTTTGTTTTCCTTCTGATACAAACATCCTGACTAAAGCAGCATTTATTTTGATTCACAGTTTGAGAGGGGACACAGTTTATTGTGGTAGGGAAGGCATGGGAACATGAGAATGAGGTTGGCTCATTGCTTTATATAGTTAGTCGAGAAGCAGAAAACCAGGCCAGATTATAACACTTTCAAGCCCATCATTAAAAGGCTACTTCTTCCAGCAAATCTCCATTTTCTAAAGGTTAAATAAGTTTCCCAAACATGGACCTGGTGTAATAGTGGAAATTGCACATTCAACTCAAAATATGTGACATCCACTTCTAGGTTCTACACACACACACACGTACGTGTGCACACACACACATATACATGCACACACGTACATGCTGTTCATTCCACTTGTATTTGTGACCATATTCACATTAACATATACACAAAACACACACATACACACACTCAAACAAAAGGGAATAGAGAACAGAGCACCTCTCTAATAAATAGTACTGACAAACTGGATATCTATGCAGATTGAAATTTGACCTGTCTCTTCCTGCAAAAACATCTAAAAATCAAATTAAAAATGGATCAGAGTCCTGAATGAGTTTACTTTTTATTTCAATTTACTTTCCTAATAGGTTCTTTAAGAATTTGTCTTTCCTATAAGACTACATATTACAAAACTGCTAATTTATAAATGCATTTGATGGTAGCATCTTTATCATTCCTTTGGACAGTTCCTTTTTCCCAGTCTTCACAATGACCACCTGCCTCCCCTCTCCACAGCTGTGAGATCCCCTGGGAATGATCTACCCAACGATGTTCACTTTCCCAGGACAGCACCCCAAAGAATAGTCATGTCTTTTCTTACCTACAAATTCCACAAAAATTTCCAACATCCCCTTCCCTTGATTCCTAATAGGTGATTTAAAACAGTGATTCCTTTAAGGGTCTATCATACACTATATGTGGAGCATGTCCTTTATAGCAATGCACATTTCATTGGAAACTTCATAATAGCCTGGTATCTTAAAGAAAAGGATGTGAAGCATGATTAAATGAAGCACGATTGATAAAAACTCAGAAATTGGGGACCCGAAAAGCAAAACAGCCAGCCCTGGCTTTTACTTTGACCTCAGTCCAAAAATGGCAATCCTGCCTCCAATAATCTCAGAAGGAGACGGTCCCTGAGAGCTGTCTTCTCCCATCTTATATTCCTCTCTAGGCCCGGGATTAAATGCGTACACCACTGGGATTAAAGGCATGTACCATCACTTTTTATGGCAACTAGTGTGGCTACTGGGATTAAAGGTGTGTGTTTCCATAACCTGGTCTGTAAGGCTGACCAGCAGAACTGTTTTACTCTCCCATCTTCAGGCAGTCTTTATTTATCAAAAAACAATTAAAATGCTACTATAAGGATCTGACCTTTAGGCATTTGGATTTTAAGCACTCTGGCAGGTGATGGCAGCAAAGAATTCCCTCTGAACCTAAACAGGAATGATTCACCTGCTGCAAGGCTGCTCATGGTTGTGATCAACAGGGCTGTCTCTGGTGTTCCCTGTAATATGGAGATTCTTAAGTAAGGTTGCATTCAAATTTTTTCTTTGCAGAATATTTTTTTAAAAAAACTTCAACAAGTGATATTTTTTTTTCTTTCATTTCCCCTAAACATAAATGAAGTTTACTTACTGTTTTAGGTTGTCTGGCCACATGCACACTCCTATGCATATAGTTGTTTGTATAAAACTGAAGGCAAGTCTGTGGAGCACTTCAAAAGAAGGCTATCAATGTCCAATTTGTTGATGCCTTGGACCTTTGTTGTCTCAGCAAATGTCTGGGAATGGGCAACGTGACATGTTGCTGCTCTATATTTATGATACTCTATCTGCTGATTTTCATTAACTGAAATCACTTCAATCATTGGTAAACTGTCAGTAGCAACCCTTAAACTTTGCCTCAGTTATTACCAATCTGAATTTGCTTATGCCTAATTATGTATATTATTAAACACCAGGACAGGGAAAGACTGATTTTCTTCTTGACTAGAATGATTCCTCTTTGGAAACTTTGGAACTAGGACACAACTATTGAAAGAAAATTTATGTTCTGGACTTAAAAGTTCCTTACCTAAAGGTTCCGCAAACTGATTTTAGCTCTTTTTCACTCTGGCCAGTGGATGGGTAAGAACTAGCTATTTGTTTTCTTCATGAATTCTTCATTGTCCAAGAGATTAGTTGATTGTATGTACAAGTTGTGGCGCAGCTTGTAAGGGAAGGTTCAGAATGAAATTTCAAAAGTGAACAAGGACCTGGCCAGGTACCCATACATGCATGTTAAGCTCAGATTTTTGTTGTGGCATTTTAAAAAAAAAAGCCTTAGAACCATTTCAAGGAAGAGGAAGATGGAATCACTTTTGTATGCTTTATACGACAAGTACACAACAGCACTATTCTTTGTTCCACCTGTGGACTACGCCCAAAACCTTAAAGCTATGTACAAAAAAGGTCCAGGTCTTGAAGTGCTTCTCAGGCCATAAAGCAAACAGGGTTAGTTTTAATTGGACAAATTAATACCAGCATCTATGTTTCAATCTTCGTGGAAATTTTTAAATGTTAAACAAGACCAAAGTTAAATCAAATTACAGGGAGAAAAATATCTAAAATCAGATATCAACTCCAGGTTTACTGAACTATTTTCTGTCTTATTTTTAGAATATAATTGAACAGAACATTCTGTATCATACACCATTTAATTTCTATTGATAATAGTGCCCTTCTGGAGCTGTCCTTGGCTGACTTAGTATTACCTTCCAAAAGCAGAGAGATAAATAACAAGTTGATTATTCATCAAGTGACATTGCCTTTTTGAGGAAACATACTGCTGTAGGAGGCTTAACACAGTTAAAAGTCCTGAATTGTCTGAGTTTCAGTTTTCTCAGATGAATATTTAATAAATCTTCCTCAAAGTCTCAGGGATAAACCAATAGTTCTAAAAAGGGTTTGCTCTGAGGCCCAGGGAATCAAAACAACTTTTATAGAAACTAAAATAATACTGTCAGCTATTATAAATTATTACCCGATCACCATGACAAATCAAAAGTAGTACTTAGGCTCAAGCATTAGCATCTACTCTGGTCTCTGCCTCTATCCTACAGGTGGAGGTAGACTAAGCAGCATCCCAGAAAGCCAATCTATGAGAAAAGGAGTGTGGGAAAATCTTAGGTGCTTCCTGTGCACAGTATAGACTCTTCATCCTGGCACACAAGAAATGTGCCCATCTTCATCAATACTCAGTGGAGCAGGAAGGCAGCCTTGAGTATTTAAAGAGCTTGATAAAACCTGAAGAACTGAGTTTTATCTGTACATTAGAAGCTAAATCGGGGCTCTAAGTCAGAAAATATTGTCAGGCAAGGGTAGGTGAGAGAACTTAGCATTGGGGCACTCAGCTCCCATTTACTGTGGTTTCCACGTCACTATGGATGATTGTGTCATGGTGATGACCAGCTCACATCCCTTGTTTGTCCCAACAGTAACAAACACTGATCAGGATATGATTGCAGAGGAACCTTCGTACACTGTGGAAATACTCACTAGTGCAAACACCTTAAAAATGTAAAGATAGAACTCCCATAAGACCTACCTATACTGCTTTTAGTCATGTACTCAAAAGGATAAAAGTCTGCTTAGTAGAGAGAACCCCCCCCCCATGTTCATCAGAATCCTGTTCACAATTGTGAAGTCACAAAAATCACCTTCGGTGTTCATTAAGAGATGAGTGACTGAAAATTAGAGAGAGAGAGAGAGAGAGAGAGAGAGAGAGAGAGAGAGAGAAAGTTTTTAACCCACCATAAATAATTATGGTTTTGAAAGAAAATGGATGGAACTGGAGAATGTGTTCCATGCAATAAATCCATCCTACAGAGCAAAGGGTCAAAGGGTCATGTACTTTTTCTCATTTGTAGAAACTATCTGGGGTAAAGAAAGGTAAGAACCTAAAAGCAGGTCTTCTAGAGATGGAGAAGAAGAAGAGAAAAAGAGGGAGAGGATAAGAAAGTAATGAATTAGTGACAATGCCCAAAATAGTTTATACAGCTTGGAGTATGTCATAATAAAACAGCTCTGAAAGGGGCACATAGGTCCCATTGGCAGCTCTCAGAGAGTGCTGGTAACTTGATGGGTCCTCTTAGAAAATGAGGTGCTGTCCTAATTTGCTTTTTTATTGCTGGTAAACAGTATGATTAAAAGCAACTTGGGTAAGAAAGGGTTTATTTCACCTTAAAGCTTATAGTCCATCATGAAGAGAAGACAGGGCAGAAAATCCAGGTAGGAACCTAGAGACTGGGACTGAAGCAGAGACCATTGAGGAACTCTGCATCTGGCTTGTTCCTCATGATTTGCTCAGTTTGCCTTTTTATACAAGCCCAAACCACCTTCCCAGAGTGGCACTGCCCATAGTGGATTGTGCCTATCTAGATCAACCTTCAGTTAAGAAATTATCCCACGGGCTTACCTTCAGACCATTCTGATGAGGGTATTTTCTCCACCAAGTTTTCTTCCTCTCACATAACTCTGAGTTCTATCAAGCTAAGAAAATAAAAAGAACAAACCTAATCAATACAGGTCCTGCCTGTTGATATTTGAACATATCTTTAAAGATTCATCCTTCCACCCTAAGAAGCTTATCTCTTACCTGACTGTTGATTTCTTCTTCCAATAATGCAGACTTCCTCCCTATTCTCCCTGGGTGGGAGTTTTTAGTGCTCTATGTGGCATTTAAGTGCTCTAGTCAAATGCCATGTTGATGGCTCCAATCAGAGTTGGGTATTCTGTGTCTGAAGAGGAGCTGTACATGATCAATGGAGCTTATTACTGTACATGTGTTTTCAGTTTGCTAAGTTTATCCAAATAGGCTTATACATTTGCACTTCTTTTCAGCAAGAAGAGGAAGTGTATGCAAAAGCTCATATATGTCAGATGTGAAAATTCAAGTTCCAAAAATCCAAGTTTTTCTTGATATATGTACTAAAAGACTTCTAGAAAAGGCTATATTATAAGTTACTGTGCCTGGTAGAAGGTATACAGTATGAAAGGAAAACAAAACAGAGCAAAATCCAAATGGTAACATTCCATTAAGGTGGCCATGATACAAATGAAGAAGGACTTTCAGCAGCAATAGAACCTTGGCTGATGTTCCAGACATGTATGATGACCTAAAATAGACACTATAATATCAGTTGTCATTTGTCAGTGGATAGCTATGAAACTGATAAGTCAACCTTATGATAATGATTTATAAAGAAAGGAAGATATATAAATAAAGTAGATATTTTTGAGAAAACCTGTATGCATTGTGAGTCCCATTGACCCCTGTATTTCTCCTGACAGTAGTGAACAGTCAAAGGCTAATTGACTACTTAATGATATAACCAAGCTGAATGTCTCACCATATGTTCAGAACCATTTAGGACATTGTACTAAAAAGGATATGTGTAGTTAATAACTTTACAATTTCCACATCTTCAAAACTCTTATAATTCAGGTTGCATTCAAAAATTAAGACATGTCAACCAGAAAAGAATTATTGAAAGTTTAAAGTCTGAAGAATGTAAGTACTGTTCACAGGTTAATTTTATGGCTTTCACATACTCATTGTGTATAGAAATAGAGCTATAAATAAGAGAGCTAAAAAGATCAAAGGTATACAAATTTGAAAAGAAGTATCATTATTCCCAGAAGATATGATAGTATACATGAGACCCCAGAAGTTTTACCAGGGAACTCCTACAGCTGACAAATATCTTTAGTCATGTGGCTGGATACAAGATTAACTCTATAAAAATTTAGTGGGTTTCATATACAAATGATAAATGAACTGAGAAGTATATTGGGGAAACAACACTTTTCACAATAGCCTTAAATAATATAAAATATCTTGGTGTAATTCTAATCAGGCAAGTAAAAGACATACATAGAAAGAACTTCAAGTCTTTGAAGAAAAAAATGGAGATGATATCAGAAGATGGGAAGATCTCCCATACTCAGATCTATAGGATTAATTTAGTAAAAGTAGATATCTTACCAAAAGCAAGATATAGATTCAATGTAATCCCCATTAAAATAACAACGCAATTCTTTACAGATATATAACGAACAATATTCAACTTCATATGGAAAACAATACAAACAGATAGGTAAAACAGTTCTGTATAATAAAAGAATTTGCAGAGATATCATCATCCCTGACTTCAAGCTCTACTACAGAGCTATAGTAATAAATACAGCTTGGTATTGGTATAAAAACAGACATGTGGATCAATGGAATCGAATCAAAGACCCAAATGCAAATCCACACATCTATGGACATGTCACTTTTGACAAAGAAGCCAAAAAAAAGCATCTTCAACAAACGGTGCTGGCATAACTGGATGTCTACATGTAGAAGAATGCAAATAGATCCATACCTATCACCATGCACAAAACTCAAGCCCAAGTGGATCAAAGACCTCAACATAAATCTAGATCCACTGGCCCTGATAGAAGAAAAAGTGGGGAATAGCTTAGAACACATTGGCACAGAAGTCAAGTTCCTGAATAGAATCTCAATGACACAGACACTATGATCAGCAATTAATAAATGGGACCTCATGAAACTGAAGCTTCTGTAAGACAAAGGACATAGTCAATAAGACAAGATTGCAGTCTACAGAATGGGAAAAGATCCTCAGGATCCCCACATCTGACAGAGGACAGATATCCAAAATATATAAATAACTAAATAAGCTAGACATCAAAAACAAACCCTAAAGAATCCAAATGAAAAATTGAGTACAGATCTAAGCAGATGGTTCTCAACAAAAGAATCTCAAATGGCCGAGAAACACTTAAAGAAATGTCCATCATCCTTAACCATTAGGGAAACACAAATCAAAATGACTGAGATTTCACCTTACCCCTGTCAATATTGCCAAGATCAAAAGCACAAGTGACAGCTGCTCATGCCGGAGAGGATGTGAAGCAAGGGAAACATGCTTCCATTGCTGGAGGGAGTCAAACCTGTACAGTCACTTTGGAAATCAATGTGGTGGTTTCTTGGAATATTGAAAACTAATCTACTTCAAGACCCAACTCTACCAATCTTGGGCATATACCCAAAGGATTCTCAATTATACCGTAAGTACACTTACTCAGCTATGTTCATATCAGCTTTATTCATAATAGCCAGAACCTAGAAATAACCTAGTTGTTCCTCAACCCAAGAATGGATAAAGAAAATGTGGTACATTTACACAATGGACTATTACTCAGGTGTTAAAAAACAATGACATCATAAGATTTGAAGGCAAATGGGTGAAACTAGAAAAAAAAAAACCCAGAGAGACAAATATGGTATGTACTCTCTTAAGTGGTTATTAGCTGTAAAGTGAAAGACAGCCAGGCTACAATCTACAAACAACAAAAGAGGATGGATATAACAGGGAGAAAAGGAGAAGTGGGGGAAGCAACTGGGAGAAGAGGAGAGAGGAAACTGCAGTTAGAGCGGAGTGTAAAATAAATGAATACTTTATTTAAAAAGATTTTTAAAAGGGCTATAAAGTTCATCACCAGCATAGTTAAATCTAAGTTAAAATATCTTCATTTCTTCCCACTTTAAACCAACCAATCAACCAGCAACAACAAAAACCCAGAGATGCCATTTAGGTCTGTATCCACAGGGAAGCTTAAGAAAGGCTGTATTGATCAGGCAGTGGTGGCGCACACCTTTAACCCCAGCACTCAGAAGGCAGAGGCAGGCAGATCTTCATGAGTTCAAAACCAGCCTGGTCTATAAGACCTTGTTCCAGGATGGGCACCAAAGCTACATAGAGAAACCTTGTCTCAAAAATCAAAACAAACAAAAAAGAGAGGCTGTACTGGGTGTGCATGAAATTTAATAGTTGGAAGACTTGAGATACTAATAGCAGCTCTCTTAATTTCTTATTAAAATAGCCTTAAATATGTGTTTGTAAAGATTGTAGCATCACTGCAAGTTCAAGATAAGAGAAACTCATATGCCAAAACTGAAGGTCAATTAATTTCATTAGCCCCGGGATGAGCTTAAGAAACACGTTCCTGAGCTGCAGGACATACATACCAGTCTCTGACCCTGAACAAGCCCAGTGAACTTGGAAAGGTTGAAAAGACTTTTTGATTCCCCAAGTTAGAAAAACAAACCATCATTCTCTAATGCCAGAGAAACTTGTTTGCAGTCAGAGAAAAGTGGGGTCTTTCTCTCTCTGCATTTACCAGGAACATGCAAAAGAGAGTACACAGCGGATGGGAAAAGCCAATTTATTTCAGTTTCATCCATTAAATCTTAGCAGAGGCCAGGATAGAAGCTAGAAACACAGGTTGGTAGCTGTAGTCTTTCAAGCAAATCCACTGTCAGAAAGCTGCAGATTGCATACCTGTAATAAGAAGGCTGATAGTTAGTTCCCGGCTGCTCAGTTCCAAAATAATTACTTGAAAACCTTATTATTTGCAATACTGTTTGGCCAATAGCTTAAGCATATTTCTACCTAACTCATCAAAAATGAACCCATCTCCATTAATCTGTGTATTGCCATGAAGCTGTGGCTTTCCAGGTAAAGTTCGGGTGTCTGTCTCCTGCGGGACTACATGGCTTCTCCCTAACTCCACCCTTCTTTCTCCCAGCATTCAGTTTAGTTTTCCCTGCCTAACTAAGTTCCACCTTGCTATAGGACAACCCAGTTTATTTATTCACTAACCAATAAAAAGCCACACATAGACAGAAGAACCTCTCACACCACATACCTCCTTGTTTAATGACAGAATTTGATAAATTAAGAAAAGATATAAGGGTTATAAACATAGTTCAGCAGTTTGGAGCACTGACTTTTCTTCCAGAGGATCTGGATTCAATTCTCAGTGTTCATGTGGTGGCTCCCAACCATCTTTAACTCTGGTTCAAGGGGGATATGATACCCTCTTCCACTCTCCACAGGTACCAACCATGCTTGTAGTGCACAGACAAATGAACAAGTGAAATACCCATCCACCTAAAAATAAAAGTAACTCCTTTTCACTGAACTTGTTGCGGTCACTAACAGAGTGTATGCCAATCACTAAACAAGTCCCAGACATTTCAAAAGGTTCAAACCTTTCAAAGCTTATTCTTTGATCAATTTGAATAAATTTTAACCAATAATAATAAATAGAAAAGACAAAATATTTAGAAAATTAAAAAAAGAAGAAACAAATTTCTAAATACATTTTGGCTGAATGACACAAGAAAAATTAGGTGACATTTTATGAAGCAATAATGAAACTGGTATTGTGCTGATAAAGTAGGAATACATACAGCTTTCAGAGGTGTCCAACCTGCCACCTGTGCCCTGCATGTTACCCGAGAGAACTAGGAATGGTTACCATCACAATGTCATAAGCTTACTTAAAAGATGATGAGATGTTTTCCATAATACTTATATAACTGAATTGTGTAGCTCTCAGGTGTGAACTTTACAGATAACCACGTCAAAAAGGTTAGTCATGCCTATAAGAAATATCCAAATCAATAAAGACTCCCT